AGGTCGCTGATGGGCGGCGCAACCGCCGCAATGTAGGTTGAGAGCCATCTCGACCGAACGTTGCGATCCGCCAGTAATGCGGATAGCCCGAGCCAGCGAGTCGTTGGACGCATGACCCGTGTTGATGTGGAGCTGCGTGATGGCGGTTTTCAGGGTGCGCTCCCCCGCTGCCGTCAGAGGTGGCTCGACGGAGGCGGCTGGGGCAGGTGCAGTCCGTGTGGCTGCCCTCCTCCGTGTCGGCTGCGCTGGCTGGGTAGGATTCGCCTCCCGCGGGGCTGGCTTGTTCGACTTGCGCAGCTGCTGGGCGAGGGCGGTGGCGAGCTCGTAGGTGTAGTTCTCGCTGTTCTTCGCGTCGCGACCTCGAGCTTCAGCGTGTCGATGGGTCCCATCGCAGAACTTCCGGAGGCAGTCACGATCCTCCACGGCTTCTTGATCGGATCCCCCTTCTTGGTTCTTAGATTGCATCCGTCGAAGTCGATCACTCGTGGAAGTTGACGTCGTAGTTCGGTGGCGACTGGGTTCATCGCGGGGTTCCAGCCGTCACAGTAGCGCGGCCACTCGAACGAGACGGCGATGTACGGGCCGAGCTCCCTTCGTAGGCGTCGCATTGAGGTGAGGAACAGCGAAACCATCCTAGACGACTGCCTTTGGTCCGCCTCGAGCTGAGGGCGCTTCTTGGGATCGATCTTGACGATGAGCCTGTGCAAGGACGTTCATGGGGTGCATGGAAATGCTGCATGTACTCGTACGCTGTGGTGCTTCTCGAGCCTCGCCCTTATCTCCTCTCGAGATTGTTGACGACTGCTGGTCGTGAGAGGTCATGTGATGGGAGACCACAGCGAACTGCAGTTTCCCCTGTGGCAATCCACTTCTTGCTGAGTTTGCTGTCAGGATTGCAGCACCATTCAAAGAGCACCGTAGAATTTGGGCTTGAAATTGGATTAGTTCTCGTAGCTGATTTTGCTAAATCGGCCTTGAGGGCTTGGTTGACTACATTTGGGATGATGCCGTTCTTGTTGGTGACGATGGCAGTGCGTCTGCTTGCGGTAAGCAGCGGCTTCGTCCCCTTCTTGAGAGTGCGGACCTTGAGCTGCTCCTCCTCCACGATGTTGACCTCCTTTGCCTTGGTGTTCTCGATGCTGAGCGGAACTGAGGTGCCGAACACGCACTCCTGGCAGAACCCTAGATGTAGGCAATCTTCGTGCGGTGTGGTCCCACAGGCGACGCAGTCATCCGTGGGCTCGGTAATGTGGGCAGTCCGCGTTGTGGTCGACGTGGTAGGGGGCGTCGCTGCCGTAGAGCAGCGGGCCAGTGCAGATGCCACGGCGGCCATGAGCCGTGACCCCTTCGGACGCCTTGCCTGGAGGCGCCGAGGTACGTCGATTTCCTTCTTCGGGGTCAGCATCGCGATGCGTTCCTGAAGCGTGGAGTCCTTCGTGGTATTGTTGACCGTTGGCAGCTGGTTCGTCTTCGTGTACGTAGTGGGGCTGGTCTTCGAGCTGTCGCTGTGACCTGTGCCCGTCATGGCGTTCCAGTCTTCAGGCTGGATCTGTATTGCGGGATGTCCCGCGCTGCTCGTGACAAGCTTCTGAGTGGTGTTGCCGATGTGTATCTGGCCCTTCCACAGCGAAATGTCGATCTTGGAGGGCTGGATGAAGTCGCGGCCGATGAGTGACCCGAGAGCGGGGCTGTCCACGACGCTGAAGACAATGCGTCCCGCGCGGCCGCAAAGCACGAGGGGGGCGGTGATGCGCTGCTTGCTGGGGAGCGTGCCACTGATGCCAAAGCGATAGACCTCGTCCTCTGGCTCCTCCAGGATCTGGTCGCCGAGGCCAATTTTGATGAGCTTGTCCTTGTAGCGGTAGTACCACTTGAGACCAGCGACGCAAAATAGGCAGGCGGTGTCAATGACGCCGATGCCGTCGTCGTTCGGGCTCATGCCGTTGTTGGTGGCGGTGATCATAGGCAGGTGTGGAATGACGCGCTCAGAGACCAAGGTCTCTGGTGGCGGAGTAAGTGGCCCCTCGGGATGAAGAGCGATCTCCTCGTCCCCGAACTCGACTTGCTCGGTAATGTTCGCCTGTCGGTGGGACCGTTCACCGCGTCCTCCACCCTTGGACTTGCTCTTGGGCGGCGCGAACTTGCGGGCTCCAGGCGCAGGGCACTCCTTGTCGCCGGTCCAGTGGCCCTTCTCGCCGCAGTCCCAGCACTGAGAGGACTCTTACGCTGGTCGACGAGGCCCTGCAGGTTCTTAGCAGGCGGGCGCCGTCGCTGGAATGCCTTCCCACGGCCCTTGAGGGCGCCCCGGGCCGACCTAATGGTGGCCGTGGCCTCGGGGATCCCAGCCAAATCAGCCGCCGCAGCCTCCACCTTCGCGGAGTCGTCGCCGTCGAACAGCTCGGTGATCTCCACGTTGGACGATTCCAGCTCGGCGCTGAAGGCTTCCAGCTCCTGTCGGACGATGTCTTGCACGTCGACCTCGGTGTTGTTGTCGTCCTTCTCGCCTTCTGGCTCGTCGTCGTCGTCGGGCTCCTCCACGACGTTGGTGGAACGGGCCCGACCAGGTGTTGGTCGATGCCAGCTGTGACTGGATCGCGTAGACGATGGGGCCCACGAACGCGTGGGGGCGCTCGCTTGCCTCTCGGACGCGTGGAGGTCCGGGAACATGCGCACCAGCAGGCCGCGGATGCGCTGGTAGGAGTAGTGTTCGTCGGGCAAGTTGCCCACGACGCGCTCGCGGCGCTCGGCCGTCAACCCGGCCTTCCGGAGCATGAACCACCCCGCCGCGTCGTCGAGCGCGTTGAGGTCCACCTCGTTCTCGCGTAGTTGCTGCAGCCCGGCCTCGAAGCGGACGAGCCAATCCGTCATGCGCTCTCCGCGGCGACGGTGATGCTGCGTCGACTCGAAGAACTTCTCGAGCGCCTCGCCCTTCTGCACGGGCTTCTGCTGGCCCAGGTTGGACTTGTTGAGGTGTACCAGCACATTGTTGATGCCCTTGAGGTTGCGGTCGCGTCTCCTCTCATTGGCATCCTCGATCGCTTCGTCGGCAGGCGGGTGTAAGTCGGTCTCGGGCATGTTGAGCGCGGCCGAACGGGCCGTGCCCGTGAGGCGGAGAACCAACTTGGATGCGAGACTTTGCGTCACCTCCAGGTTCTCGCTGAGCTTCCAGAGCTTCACTTCCTGCTTGAAGTCGCGCCACTTAGCAGGGTCACCATTCCAGGTCGGGATGACCTGGTTGCTATTGTTGAAATTGTGTTTGTCAGTCATTGTGATGTAGATGCTGAAATTGAACTCGCAGACGTTCTCTGAGTTGTGGACTGCGTCGCTGACGCTATCGATGAACTTGTAGATGCTAAAATTGCATTGACGTCGCAAACGTTCTCTGTAGTGTAGACGGCGTCGCTGACGCTATCAATGGGCTTGTAGGTGCCGACGTTGATGTCGCATACGTCTTGATCCTCGTACAGGTAAGAGCTGGCGTCGCTGACGCTGGCGGAGTTGAACTTGTAGATGCCGAAATTGATCGCGCAGACGTCGGAAATGTGGACAGCGTGGCTGACGCTATCAATGACCGTGTAGATGCTGAAATGGACGTCGCAGACGTCCTCTGGGACAGCGTCGCTGACGCTATCGATGAACTCGTAGAGGCTGAAATGGACGTCGCAGACGTCGGCGGAGTGCTCGTACAGGTAGATGCTGGCGTCGCTGACGCTGGCGGAGTTGAGCGCAAGGCTCAGGCCGATGAGGGCTCGCAGGACGCCGCTGGGCGTCGATTCCGTGGTGATACACGACGGCTTCGTCGTGGCTGATATGGAGGGCGCTCGGCATCGGGCAGCTGAGACCCGCTCCAAGCTACCACAGTGATATGGATCGGCGCGCAGCGCCGGGGATACTTTTGCTGTGAGCGCGGCTCGAACACATGGCGTAGCTCTGAGGCCAAGGGCCCTTCGAGAATAAACAGCGGCTGTAGGGATACATTCAAACAGAGAGAAACATCGGGCAATGAAACAGCAGGGCCCTCGAGGCTTCTGGGGAATCCCTCCCGGGCCTCCCACATTCCTGGGGAGTGAGCTTGATTCACACCACCAGGGAAAATGTACAGCCGCAGGGTCGAACTGTACGGAATGTCGCCTGCTAGACCTGCAAGAAAGGTTGACCCATTTGCAAGGATGCCATGTTTCGACCTTCCATATTAGCTTTTCCGACCCTTCCCAATGCCCACAGGGGTGAGGGCCATCGAGATTCGTGTCTGTTGTGATTTGGCTCAAGCTTAAAAGCATCCTATTAAGATGGCTGCTGCCACAATCTGCCGGGGGGACTGCGAATTGCGCAACTGTCGCCATCTTCGTGGGTTCCTGGGGGGCCTGTCGGAGTGGGGGATTAGGCGGACCCAGCCGAGACCTCGCTGCTCCAGTGGGAGGTTGCGATCTGTGCACTTCCGTGGGTTCCTGGAGGTGCAACGTCCGCCACTTCCGTGGGTTCCTGGGAGGTCTAGCGGAGTCGGGGGCCACGCGGATCCAGACGAGACCTCGGTGCTCCTTAGGGGGCTGCAAAGTACGCAACAGTCGCCATTTTCGTGGGCTCCTGGGAGGTTGGGAGGTCCAGCGGAGTCGGGGGCCGCGCGCACCCGGCCAAGACTTCGCTGTTCCCTTTGAGGCTGCGAGTTGCGCACTTGTCGCCACATTCGTGGGCTCCTGGGAGGCACGGCGGAGATGAGGGGAGCGTTGATCGTGCATATTTGGCGCCGTGTTCTTTTGTGTGGAGCGTTGTTTTCCTCGCGTGCACAAGAGGGGTTGGGTGCGTCGAGTTTCGGGTAATTTAAGTAGCTCGATCGGCGCGGGCATTTCCCTACAACCAAGCGACGGTCCTGGGGGTCGTGGGCAGCTCGCCGCAATGTCATGGCATGAGCCGCACAAAATGTTTGCATGCGCCAAGTACGGCCAGCGGCAGTTCGACATAACAATGATCGCGTCGTTTCCCCCCTCTTGGAAGAGGACTACATGGCGCTCAACTTGCTCGGCTGGTCGCTTCGGTACACCGTTGACCTCTCGGGCGCTGAGTGTGGGTGCAACGCGGCCCTGTACTTGACCTCGATGCGGCAGAACAAGAAGCGGGGGGCCCAGTCTCGGAACTTTCGGCGCCCCGTTGCAAACTGGAGGAGGAGAAGGATGAGGAGAAAACGGAGGAGGAGGAGGAGGAATAGCAATACTAAGACTAATAATACCACGACTCATAATAACAATGCTACGCATACTAACACTAATGATGATGATTTAGAAGCAAGGATACGGATTACTATACAACGAATAAGTACACGATTACGAGCACGAATAACACTCGTAATACGAATCGTAGCATTACGAGTAACACCAATAGCACGAACATGAATACAACTAATACGAACACGAATACTACTGATACTAAGAAGAAAACGAATACCATGGCCACTATTATTATTACTACTATTATTAAGAAGAGTACTAGTAATACGAACAGTAATCAGACGACGAACAGTATGATTACTACACAGAGCACTACGACGAATACTAGTAATACATCTAAGAAGACGAATGCGGTGTACACGAATAATAACACGGCCTCACATACGACTACGACGACTACGACTAATAAGAAGGCGAGTGCGACTACTCATAACACCAATATTGCTGAAAATCCGAGTACGACAAAAGACGACTGGGAAGACTATGACGACTACTAATAATCCTAATTGTAATACCAACATTAATCACCATAGTAACAGTCGTAATAATAACACGAAGAAGGGGAGGAACATGCAGAGGAGGAGGAGAAACAGGAGGAGGAGGACGAGGAGGACGAGGAGGAGGAATAAGAGGATGATGAGGATGATGATGAGGAGGAGGAGGAGGAGGAGGACGATCAGGCGGAAACGGAGGGGGAGGAGGAGAAGGAGGAGGAGGAGGAGGAGGAGGAGGAGGAAGAAAAGGAGGAGGAGGATGAGGAAGCGGAGGAGGAAGGAGGAGGAGCAGGAGGAAGAGGAGGAGGCGGAGGAGGAGGAGGAGGAACAGGAAGGAGAGGCGGATGGGGAAGAGGACGCGGAGGAGGAGGAGGAGGAGGAGGAGGAGGAGGAGGAGGAGGAGGAGGAGGAGGAGGAGGAGGATGAGGGAGGAGGAGGAGGAGGAGGAGGAGACGGCGGAGGAGGAGGAGGAGGAGGAGGAGGAGGAGGGAGGATGAGAGGGAGGAGGAGGAGGAAAAGGAGGAGGAGGAGGAGGAGGAGGAGGAGGAGGAGGAGGAGGAGGAGGAGGAAGAGGACGGGGAACATGAGGAGGATGGGGTGAGGAGGGGGACGATGAGGAGGAAGAGAAGGAGGAGGAGGAGGAGGAGGAGGAGGAGGAGGCGGAGGAGGAGGACCAGGAGGAGGAGGGGGAGGAGGAGGAGAAGGAGGAAGAGGAAGATGTGGAGGAGAAGGAGGAGGAGGACGAGGAGGAGGAGGAGAAGGAGGAGGAGGAGGATGAGGAGGGGGGGAGGGGGAGAGGAGGAGGAGGAGGAGGAGGAGGAGGAGGAGGAGGAGGAGGAGGAGGAGGAGGAGGAGGAGGAGGAGGAAGAGGAGGAGGAGGACGAGGAGGAGGATGAGGAGGAGGAGGTGGATGAGGAGGAGGAAGAGGAGGAGGAGGAGGCAGAAACAGAAAGGAGGAGGATGAGGAAGGAGAGGCCGGAATAGGAAAGGAAGGAACTGAGGCAGGCGGGAGGAGGGAGGTGGTAGGTGGGAGGAATGAGGAACGAAGGGTGTGAAGGGGAGGGCGAGGAGGAGGAGGAGGAGGAGGACCTGGGTAAACCCAAGATGCATCAACGATGCTGCAACACACCCTCCAGTCCCAAGTCTCCTCTCCATAAGTTCTACGGGAAGCGCCTCCATTGACAGCCGAAGGACCCGTGGGACTGCCATTTAGGCGAGACCCCGTCCTTCCAGCCATGAAACATTCTCTAGGAGCGAACCGCATCCGTCATTGCAGGAGGAGGAGGCAGCGGAGGAGGAGGATGAGGAGGAGGAGGAGGCGGACAGAGGAGGCAGGATGATGAAGAGGAGCGGGCAGGGAAGGAGGAGATATCACAATCAAGTTGGAGACGCACTGGTGATCCACGCGGGTCACCAGTGCGCCAACGGCTCGGGTAAGCAATGTAATACGAGGAAGTAGTTGGAGAGTAGGAAGGCAGAGGAGCTGGAGGAGGCAGGAGGGTGCAGGAGGAGGCAGGAGTAGGCAGGAGGAGGCAGGAGACGGTAGGATAGCTTTGGGGGAGATATGAGGGGAGGTCGGAGCAGGTGGGAGGAGGAAGTCACCTCGCTGTGAGCATCCCTAGAACACGACGAGAAAGAGGAGGATGACGACATGAGTCATCCATGAAGGCCTTTACGGGCCTTTCGCTCGGGGAACCTCTTTGGGGCTCTCTTGGGGGTCTCTTGCTTCCCTCTTGGGGCCCTTCTTGGGCGCCTTTTTGAGCCCTCTTGGGGGCCTTGCGGGT